ATTTTTTTTTTTGGTCGAAACGATAGAGGATTTATATATAAACGCACAAATGTGCAAAAGTACAACCACTAGCTGAATAATACAACCGACGACTGAGAACACTGGGAGAACAGGTCCGAAGACCGCCTAGATCCGAAAACTAGCAATGCTAGAATACTCGGCAACACACTAAAAACAAACACACAAAACAACGACAAAAAAACAACACAAGACCCCCACAGGGTAATTCCCGAGTGTCGGACCCCCACAGAGTAATGAAAATGACACTCGGGTGCACAGAGGCCAACGGCCCAGACCTAAAACACAACGACAAACACAAACACAGATACGAACACACTACACAAGAACAACAAACGGCAAAATTTCAAAATTGGTCCTATAACTTGGCCACTGTCCAAAAAACCACCCCGATATTGACCACTTTCAATTTAGGTCCTATAATTTGTCGATTTCATCAATTTTGGTCCTTTTTTATCCGCCCTTGGATTACAAAGTGACGTGGCATGACGTGTCAGTTTTTCAATGTTACATGGCGTGATTATGATCTACGTGGCACGTCAATTTTGGTCCTATAATTTGACGATTTCATCAATTTTGGTCCTCTTTTCATGCCACGTCACTTTTTAATCCAGGGTGCGGATAAAAAAGGACCAAAATTGATGAAATCGAAAAATTATAGGACCTAAATTGAAAGTGGTCAATATCGGGGTGGTTTTTTGGACAGTGACCAAATTATAGGACCAATTTTGAAATTTTCCCAACAACAAACCAATCTACAACAAAACCAAAAAAGGAAAAACACAGCTAAATAAAAAAGCCCTTCCACAGCAAGTTAGTCAGCTCGAACCAGCGGAGAACAGTCAATATCAGAGGATAATCCAAGTCCAGGGACGGCTCCCGAAACTGCCACAAGGCCTATACAAGAAGTCGAGCCCGAACACAAACCACACTCCAAAACGACCCGCCTCAACCGGAAGGACAACCAAACACGCACCCACTCTAGCACCTCCCGAGCACGCCTAACACCACTAGCCGAGCATCGGAGCACCAGATTTCCGCCGTCTAACACCACTAGACAAAACGGGGGACGGCTCGGGCCCTCAGTTCCGACTCCCGTCAGAGCCCCACCCCGCCTCTCAACCCACTACCCAGCCAATAGAACCGCAGACCACCGACGTCCGGACTCGACAACCCTGAACGGAGATCTGCCGAAAAACAGGACCGCTCGAGGTGGCCCTCCGGTGGCCCTCCATTCGCGCACAGAATCAGAAATTGAAACAGGAGTGGAAGAAGAAGACGGCATACTCACCTCCAATCGAAGACCGGCGGCCAGTCACCTGCAAGCCGATCGACGACCAAGGGGCGCGCTGCCTCCAATCGCTACCACGCCGGCGAACGAAGGGCAATCCAGACCGACATCACAGGCAAGCCGCAACAACACTGGAGGACCGGGACAACAGAGGATTTTTTATTACAATCATATTTACAAATTATAAAAATAGTAAAATCGAATAACAAATTAATCTTTCGTCCATGGTTATATATAACATAAAGTAAATACAGAAAGTATTTCTTTTGGGGCCCGTTTAGTTGAATTTCTTGATAGAGTTTGATTATTTTCAAGAGATCAGTCAAACACATTAACAAGAATCTACTACACCCATAGCAATGTTTGATTTACAATCATCAACCCTTCCAAGTGTTTTTATTTTTTTCAAAACGGTAGAATATTATAAGCCTACAAAGGGACAAGAGGTTAAAAAAATACAACCCAAACTACCAGACGGTATAATAGGAGGTGCGCTTACAAAAGCAACCTAGAAACAACAAAAACTTAAACTGAATAGACAACAAGAAACCAACATAGGCAAAGCTACAGAACCCGAAATTGTCCTCTAAAGCAGTTGCACAAGACCAAAGAACAACTACCACAAGAGAAAAAGATAAACCTGCCACTGAGCCACAACACCTAACAGGTTTACCGTTACAACAACCAAACCTGTACAACAACCTCACAAACAGAAGCAAAACACAAACAAGAAAAAATAAAAACGAGCTTCATCAACCAGCAGCTACCAAGCAGTCACCGAAGAGAACTAGAAAAACAATTTGAGTGCTACAACAACGCAGAAGAGGTTGACTGCACTATAGAGAAATCAAAGAGCCAGAAGTTTTGGAAAACCTAGATATTCCTGGCTTTCCATAACCACCAAAGTAGAAAAGTTGTCAACTGGATTATGTGCTCAAAAGAGAGGAGTGGCCCCCAGGCTATAAATTTTTGTCCAATCAAGATGTTGGAAAATTTAGTGAACGAATTTGTAACATAAAGTTTATTTTGTTGAAACCGTGTCTTTCACTTAAAAAGTGTAACTTGTTTTCATGTTACAACTTGTTTACATGTTACAAACATAACTTCATTAAGTTTTGAATTAATGGAATTAATTGACTAGTGTGGCTTATCTTAGCCTATATAAAAGACTTGTCTTCATTTGAAGAGAACACTCACGAACAGAAGAAAACAAAATTATTAAAGTCAATTTCCCCATTTGTTTTTTATAGTGTTTTGGTCTAGGCATAATTTCAGTTCGTCGAATTTGTTTCAGTTTTTCCGTTGTATCCTGGGAAACAGACGCTCATACGGGGCGAATCTATTTTAAGGACACTGTGTTCTCACAGGCCTCGATATTTATTATATAGCCATCTTATTTTTATCTTCCCGTTAAAGTTCCGTACAGATGTATCATTACTCAGACCATCCTAGGATATAGTAGAGAGTTTCCAGACCCTTTAGCTTTGCTGTTATGGAAAAAGATATGCTTCGTGGTTTCTAACTCATCCCCACAGGTTTTGCAGAGGGGATCAATGGTCTTCTTCTTGTTCAAGAGATTATGATTCACAGGCAGGATGTTGGAGTAGCTCTTCCAGATGAAATGCTTAACCTTACTTGCAATATGGAGGGCCAACTTATTCTTCTAGATTTTGTAATTAAAATACTTGGACAATTCTCTAGATAATTTTAAGGTAAATAAAAAATTAATTCTAAGTAAGATATAAGGTAAAATGTAAGGAATATTGAATATAAATATTTCAAATTTAGTTAGATTTGGAAGCGTTGGATAAGCTAGTAGTAGGTCCTGGGCATGCTGGTCATGCGTTGGCAACTCGCTGGTGTCGAGTAGCACCGGGCAGAACTCGTTGGTTGGTTGTTGGGACTTGCTGCTAACTGCAGGGACTTGCTGCTGACTGCCAACACTCATTGTGATAGCTGCCTTGCGCCCATGAAGAAATGGGGGTTAACGGGTGCGGTCCCACGGACGTGAAGCGCATCAAAGCAGGGTGAGCCTAGATAGATCTTAGTGGAGTTCCATCCTAAAATCAATTAGTGGTATGAGGAGTAGCCCACTAGGCTTATAAGCTAGACCTATTTTCCCCTGTATAGACGATGTGGGACAACTCACAAGTGTATATTCTAACAATCCATCACAACATTGATTGCTTTCCGTGCCTACCGTCGTTGTCTCGATCACAGGCCTACTACCTATTACTAGTCGTGATAGTGCGTCGTGGGAGCGATGGGCCCACTACCAATTGTGTCTATTGGGCACCAAGAGGTACCAACTTAGCCGAATGTGTCTACTGTGCTTTTTATTCCCCAAACCTTGTAGATACATTTTCCTACATTTAGGGTGAGTTTGGTTGTAATAATGGATTGAGCTTCATATAATCTTTTTGATTATTTCAAAGGCTATCAATCAATTTAGTAAGCCCATTAACTTGTTTGGTTTAGTGTTGAAAATTATATCCTTTAGGTGAAAATACTTTTATACCCTTCATTTCAAATTAAATTTTCCAAATGAGTCCACATATTGAAAATTTGCAGCTTGTGAAAAGAAAATGGCGAATCCAGGGCACACGATATCTTCAAGCAAATCGCTCAGCATCTGAACGCGCACAAGCGGGAGAGAACCGCAACCAGAAAATCGCCCACTGACGTCGACGTCTTCGAGATCGATGGGCCGAGAAAATTGGCCGATCTAAAATTAAGAGAAAAAAAAAGAAAGAAAAAGGGTTAGGGCTGTTCTAGAATTTACCCCTTGGACCACAAGCTTGGGGCTTGACAAAATGAAGTCTAAGTGTAGCAGAGATGCGTATGTTGCGTTGGTTCTGCGGGAACACAAGAAGGGATAGAATCCATAATGAGGATATTCGAGATAGGGTCGGGGTGGCTCCAATTGAGGAGAAATTGGTTCAACATCGGCTGAGGTGGTTCGGACATGTCCAACGGAGGCCTCTTGATGCACCGGTGCGTAGGGGAGTTCTACAGCGGGTCGAGGATGTTAAGAGAGGTAGAGGTCGGCCTAAACTCACTTGGGAAGAGTCGGTTAAGAGAGATCTTAAAGATTGGAATATCTCCAAGGATTTAGCGGTGCATAGGAGCGCTTGGAGGCTCGCTATCAACGTGCCAGAACCGTGACTTTTGCTCCTTTCTCTCTCTCTCTCTCTCTCTCTTTCCTATCTCTTCCTTTCGGTTCGAGTCTTTTTGGGTTTCTCTTGGGTTTCATCTCTAGCCTACCCCGACTTGCTTGGGACTAAAGGCTATATTGTTGTTGTTGTTGTTGTTTATTATGATGATGAAGAAGAAAAGGGGAAGGGATCTTAATTCTGTTGCTTTACAAAATTTGAAAAAAAAAAAGAAGAAGAAGATGTTGATGATGGAGAAGAAAAAGAGTGAAAGGGGTTGTCTTGCTGTGCGGCGCAAATTCACGAAAATCACGAAAAAACGAGAAATATGAGTTGAGGTTATCTTGGTAAATTTAAATAAAAAATTGAGTGAGATAACACATCCCACCTCATATGGGATACACAATACTCAAAGTTGTTATTAATTAGCCGGGCCCTTTCATTTTAACGGGCTTGGACGGATCAAACCAAACATGTTTATAGGCATGAAATAATAATAATAGGCATGATATCAAGCCCAATCTGGCCAACCAAACGGACCCTTATAATTAGGTCACATGAGTGTTATTGCATATAACTTAAACTTTTTAGAGCGCTATATGCATTTTGTGAAGTTCATAACGTTCATTTTGCATTGTTGGAGTTCTTCATTTTGAGAGTTTTAAAATAAATATTGTTTACTGTAAACTTGTTTATTTTTAATACTTTTAATCATATGTCATTGCATTTTGGGAGACGCTTGCTATTATCGTAAGTAATTGGACAGAACAAGAAGGTAATTATACAAGTCTGCTTACATAATATTTTTCTTATTTTTTTCTTCATTATTGCATTACAAAGGGAAAACAGCAAACTCGCTAGCTACATAAATGTTCATTGATTACTAACAAATACATTCATACACATAAATTGGTAAAAGCATTGATTCACCAGCGTGTTGTCAAATGGAAAGGTTGAACATGTCCATTGCCAAGTTCTCTAGCATCAACGCTTCCGCTTCTCCACTGCACAAATTTTTCCCTGCAAAAAAAAAAAATTAATGGTGAAAAATGAAGATAACAAATAGATTTCAATTTGAAACAACAACATTACTTAATTAATTGTGGTTTTATGGTAAATTAGAAGAGGAAATTATCCATCCATCCATTGCCACCGACAATACATTGCACTTTGCTCTGCAATTATAACTATTTTTGCAGAAAAAAACTGTCGAATTTTGATAATTAGTTACCGTGAAAAGCGATGTTGCTTTTGGGGCGAGGGAGAGGGCAAGAGGAGATGGGGAGAAGGGGAAGATTGTGGCAATTGCAGATCTCAATCATGTATCCGTCTGGGTCATGAAAAAATATCTGATCCACGATTATCCCGCCTTCTCTCACCACACCCTTCACGTATTCCACATTCATCTCCTCCAGCTGTGACATTATCACGCCCATGTCCGAGCACTCAAACGAGATGTGGTTGTCCTTTGGGTTTATCTTCTTCCCCGCTTTACTCACCATATTCGCATTATCCGACTGCAGCAGGTGGATCCCAATCCCATGGTTGAACAGCCTGCAAAAATATTTATTCTTGTTAAATAATGGAAAATATCCAATCCCCAGCTTGATTAATTACTCCAACTCCTTACTTAATTAACACACAATAAATATAAATAAATAGATTATTTAACAACTTAAGCTTTGATTTCTGATTAATACTATTGACGACTCAGATTTCTAAACCAAAATTGAGAGAGAGAAATTACCAAGCGCCTTCAAAGTCGAAAGAAGAAGGCCTTTGGATTAGGACAAAACCCAAAACCTGCTCGTAAAATTCAACAGACTTTCGGACAGATTTGCAGATGAACGAGACGTGGTTCAGCGACAGCAGAGGCAATTCCCGGCGTCCCAAACCATTTATATTTTTATTATTCCAAATTGGTGATGATTTTCCCAAAACTTGCCCAATCTTTTCAATATTTATCTCTTTCCCCATTTTTTTTTTTTTTTTTTTTTTTTTTTTCTAATAATCACCACCGATCTGTTTCTGTACTTCTGTGTGTTTTGTTTTTCTGTGATATATATGTTGTGTGATATGATTTGGGTTTTTAGTGATATGCAGTAGCACCTATATATAATAAATGGAAGGAAATGGGGAGGGGCTAACATTAAATAATTGGTGCCACATGTGCATAAACCAGCTGGGCCTTAATATCTGAGTCAATCCTACGTGGTCACATACACGTGATCTGCACCAAATGATCTTATCCACCACCGACCCACGCGGCCAACACAGTAAGCCCACCTTCTCTAGCCGGTTGCTTTCTCCAAGGAAACCTAAGAAATCGATTTCTCCTAATTTCTCCAATCGAGCAGACCTAATTGAAATGAAAAAAACCATCATAACAATACTTCAAATTACACCAACCATAACTATCTAAATCTAGTTAAAACAGAATTTGATAAGGTACAACAATGAGAGAAGAATCATAGAAGGTCATAATTTTTTGATCTTATTGTTGCACACAACCAATGCATTGTTCATGTCATCCACCTTGTTCATTGCCACGAGCTTCCATTTCAGCATTTTTCAACTTGTATTGCTCAATTTGATATTGATGTTTATTTGATTTTTCCAGCAAACCAGGTATAATATCTTTGCTCTTTCGCAAATTTCCATATCAAACCATATAAAAATTCGGCAAAAACTAAAGTTCTGCATTTCTTTTTACAAATGCTTGTTATATTTACATTAGACAAATTAAAAACAAAAATCAAAACAAAAACAAAAACAAAATAATTAGTTACCCCATATTTAGGGTATGCCCAATATCTTCTTCCCGGATTATTTCGGGTCCAAGAGGTCTTCAAGTACATTTTTTCTCCATAATTGCATGTCATCTCCCTTGGAACACCATTAATCTCGGAATTCCAGCGAGAGTTTCAGCTTCCTCGTGAACTGCTCATGGTGCAAAATTGCAAATACTTCAAATTCCTTTTTTTTTTTCCTCACTGTCGGCGGCTTTGTGGTGCTGTAATGGAGATGCCCGCCATTTTCTATCACTTGCAGAAGGAGACGACCTGCTAGAGAAGGTGGCCGTCATTGGACTCACGGTCAACTGACGATTTGGGCAATAATGATGGATTTTGAATACTTGAGTGACTGAAATGATTAAATTGAAACTAGGGGTATCAAAACCGAAAAACATGTATACATGGGGTACCAAAAGTGAAATTTTCCCCCCATATTAATTACACGAATAATTTTTTTTTTTTAAATGACTACTAATTTCATAAAAACAAATATATGTATAATATATTATAAACAAAAGTAAGATAATTTCTAAGTTAAAATATAAATAAAATATTTGTTTAAAAAGTAAGAGTTGTCATCTATAATATGCAATATACGACTTGAGCAGACTTGCAGTTACACAGATCGTAGGTCAAGTGAAATCACAAACTACGCATGATTTGGTAGGATAACAATTATCTGGGTGAGTGTGCTACGAATAAAACTACAGTGGTTGTTATGCGACTTGAACTATTATATAGGTCCATTGATCTTGTTTTTTTTTTTTTTAATGAATATTTTGTAATATTAAATATTATTTTGATTTTTATGATTTATATATTAATTATATTTATTAAATAAACAATATACGTTTTTAAGTTTGTTACCAATAATTTCACAATGTGAAGCGTTCATATGTGAGGTCAACGTAGATATATAGGAAGAATTAAATGAGAATGAGTCTTCCAATTAAAATAAAAATTATACAATCAAAAAAATTCTAACAGAAATATGTTAATATTTTTAGTAAGTATAGTTAAAATAGAGGCGTTTGTGACGTTTTTTTTTCAAAAAAGCGTTACAAAGATAAAATTATAACAACGTTTTTTTTTAATATAATCAAATCATGTCAATTTTTAAAGAGTGTCGTTGTTTTAACTGTTAACCAATATTGAGACATTTATTTAAAAGTATAATTAATTAAAGTATGTCATTATACAAAAGTGTCGTCATGTTTAGTTATATGAAATTTAAGGTGACAAACAGTGGAAGTTCCTTTTGCTCGGAAATAAGAAGTCTAGTGCATGCTATGCAGTATATTAGGCCTGATATCTATTATTCTTGTGAGCGTTGTTGGTAAATATCAAAATAATCCTAGACGAGCGTATTGGTTTGTAGTAAAACGTATTGTCAAGTATATTGTAAGTGGACTAAGGATAATATGTTTGGTTACCAAATGAACTAATGCAGCCTATGAGTTACAAAGAATTCTAATTTCTAATCAGACGTGGAAGATACATAAATCTACCTCAAATTTGTGTTTACTTGTGAGGTTGAGCCAACAGTTTGGAGGAATGTCCAATGGTAATTCATTGACGTATTCCCCCATGAAACTTAGTACATCGCGGGCTGGAAAGAAGGCGATGGAAGAGGTTTGACTCTGAGACTTCTATTGGACTAGGAATATGAAATCCGGGTTGAAGGTCACAATTTGATTGTGATGACAGTTAGTGTAGTTGCTTCGTGAAAGAATCACAACACAAGTTCATAATGCAAGTAAGCACATAAAACAAGTATGAACTAGTGCGAGTAATCACGAAGGAGTAGAGATTTTGTCGCCTAGGTACATTAATTTAGACGACCAAATAGATCCTTTTTAGAACTGGCTTTCTCGTGTAAGCTGTCGATGGTCATGTTAAGGGACTGTGAGTAGGATGTATGGTAATTAGGACAACAGTTATTTGAAAATAAAGATTGAAAGATTGTATACTTAGGAAAGATGAAAGCTTTAAAATATAAGTGTAAGATTGTTGGAGTATATTGTAGAAGTTCGATTTTGTGTTACTTCCAGTTTCATTTTTAATGAGATTCATGTTTTTAGTCAAGTGAATGTTCGTAGTTTATTTATTTATGCAAACATAGTTCCTTTATTTTACATTTTAGATAATATGGTTCGATGTGTCGAATAGAAATATCATATTATCGGTTTCTTGTAAGACATAACTGAGCTAACTGTCTTGAAAGAATGTACTTTGATTTTCGAGTTAGTTGATCTTTGACCAACGAATTACACTAGTACATCTCGGATGTATTGAATGGACCTAGAGGAGGATAAAATTATTTTATACTGACCAAGTAAATAATATAGACCTCAATAATTGTTGTGTTCTCTTAGCCCTTAAGGCAATAAACAAGCATATGTATTTGATTATTATTTATTTGATTTACCAAGGGTGAGACTTATTATGTTAGGTCAATAGACTCCGTATTTTAGTAAATAATATTGGTTGCATGATAGAATTTTTTACGGACACCATGTCTTGATGCCTCGAGTTGATCCCTAAAATGAGCTCAAGAAGGGTTATTATGTTAAACCAGACTAGTGGTTTAATTCTGACATAATTATAAATAATTGAGTAGTACTAATTTCGAATCAAGAGGTTGATTGATTATATTGTCAGTAATTAAATTAATGATCAGATGTTAGATCTTAAATATGGAGAGGTAAATCAAGCGATCAGCCGAGAGACAAATTATTTGTAATTCGAGCGCTAAATGAATAGTGGAATAACATTTCTCTAGTGGAATGAAATATTATTAAAGTGTGAATGGAATGGGCCAGACCCACAATTGAATTCGCACTTGGGGAGCTTATATTTCTCACCTCCTTGGTTCCGTGTTGTAGCCTATAAATACACCAAGTCCTTAGCCTAGAAACATATATATATATATATATTCACCCGCGAAGTTTGAGAAATATTATGCATTAAATCGATTAAATTTGAGAGCAAAATGGAGATAATAAATCGTGTGAATTGTGAGAGGCACGAGAGATCTGATGAGTCGCCCGCTAAGACAACTCGGAGTGGTGATCGGTCATACAACAGAAGACACCAAGGTATTCTGTTCGTATCTCGGTGAATATCTTTATCCCTACAAGACATCCGACAACCACTGTATGTGGTAGTCCCTACAACTGCGCACCCCCGCACGCGAGGATGGCTCGACACAAAGAGACGGGCACCTTGGTAGCAGCACGCAACAGTGACCCAATGACCATCCCCAGCGCATGGCAGCGCGACGATTCCAGCGATGCGACATGGCAATCCTCGACGACAGAAGGCGATGTGAACTGACGATCCATGGCGGCTGAATAGACAAGCTTAAAAAACTTGCGTACACGATGCAAAGAGGTGACGAGATGTTTGGTGTGAAGAACAACTCAGAATCGTTTGTCCGACCCCGTCGATCAGGTATGTTTGTATAGAGTCGACAAATTTTAAATGATGACTATGTTTGGTAAAACTAGCTGATAAGCTAGCTTATAGCTTATCAGTATTTTTTGAGCTTATAATTTATATCTGAAAAGCTAGCTTATATGATAAAAGTATTTGGTAAAACTAGCTGATAAGCTAGCTGAAATTAAATTTTCAATGGGCTTATTTGAAAAGCTACTCAAAGAAGTTTATGAGATAAGCTCGGGCTTTTTAAAAAAGACCGTCCTACCAAACGAAGCTTATTTAAATACAGGAAGCTTATAAGCTAACAAAATAAGAAGCTAGCTTATTGATCTACCATACATAGCTGATAAGATTCGAATCCAATTATTAGTTCTCTTGCGCAAAAGGATTTTTTTCTTAGATTCTCAATTGATTCAAAGTATGATCAGCCGACGTTCTTCACCGAACCCAATAGGACCAACCCTGTCGTTGATCTTGAATCGCTAGATAAAACAACAGCTCGAATATTTATGCTCATATTGCGTGCCGGTACATGAGGCATCACTTCAATGCGCGAACCAACACAAGTACTCAAGTACTTTGACATGACATGTTGGATATTCAAGGGGGCTGGTGCATATTTTGTCATCCCGCATTTAACGCATGGTGGACCCATTTTCTTGTATTTATGACCACACGCGCCTTAGCTCATGTACTCATAAATAGGGGGTAGTAGATATGGTACATATAGCTCAATCTTGAACCACAACTTTCCAGTTCGACGT